TGGACATGCTGTCACCTGACCACATTGTGTGTCACTTTAGGCCAGCTATCCCTCCGCCACTAGCAGTGACTTAACACATGGATCACATTTCACCACCTGGGCTCAGAATGGAGCCCTTCCTAAGACATCCAGCAGCTTGAACCAAAGTACCCAGTCTCTGTCACAGGCCTTTATTTTTGACTGTCCATCTCGATAAATGTGACAGAATGGCACAACATCATTAATTAAACATCAGGTTCTCCCTCAGTCACCTGATCGCCATGACAGGCTGCCATGCCAACAGTCCCTGTTGACATGCCTTCGAAATCTAGAAGGGGATTACATATGGTAATAGTTTTTGACAGCCTGCCATCTCCCACTGTTAACCTGATAGGGAAACAGATCTGCAGCACAGAGCATGGTGTGCTGTAACTCTTGAGTCTGATGTTGTTATATCATGAAAAACCTGGATCATTTAAGCAGTGTCCTTAATCCCCTGACAAACTTTTGATACAACCCCAAATATTGTCACTGAATCAACGGTGCTTTTTTTTTTTTTTTTTTTAACCTTGATCTTGCTTGTGTTTGCTCAGTATTAATAATCTTCACATTTACAAACTTCTGTCATGTATGGCCAGATGACTTGACAGGGCACGCCACACCTGTGTCCGTCCACACTCATAACATTCCTCCACAGGAACTAGCTCCAGGCTGCCACGGTTGCTTCCGCCTCCAAAAGAAGACAGAGTTTCTTCTCTGATCTCTGTTCACTGATGACTAGCCCCGAACTCAGAGCTACTCTGAAATGATGTACCTCTGTTGCTAGTAGTGCAATTAATATTCTAATAGCCACACCAATCTTCACATGAGGCCACGAGCCAATCTTCTTCAATGACTAATATATGGGGAACAGAGAATGTTACACATGTGCTTGCTGAAAACAAGCAACAAAGGGGGAGAAGAAGGGGGTTTAGGCAAGCTGCTCTCCCCCAAATAGGGACGTAAATCATCTCCAAGCATGATATTCTGAGCTTATCCTCAAAGAGCAAAAGCTTTTTCCCTCAGCTGTGTGGAAATGAAATAAATATTCCCAGATAAACGACCAGACAACTAAGCATCCACCTCTCCAAAAGCCAATTGCCCTGGGCTTTTATTAAATATCGATTTGATTTGTAAAAGGCCAGATGTTGCAGGGTTAAATAAATGTCATGTTTTCCCATTCCACTTTACTTTTCTTGTCTTCTCAGTCAGTGACATTTTGTCTCACTGTGTGTCTCACAGAGCAGTAAAACCAGTGACCATGCACGCCCATCCTGACCCAATCCATCCTCACAGAAATGCATTTCCATGGCATACACATGTAAAAGGCTGCCTTCCAACATTACATCACGTTCATTCGTTCTGTATGTTATTAGTGAATTCAGTAGCGACCAAAGCCGGTGTGAAATTCACGTGCTTTATTCATATTGATGCACAAAATAAAGCCAAGCAGTAAAGCCTGGTACTCGCCTCCTTGTGAGAATTGCTTGTCAACAACAGGAGGGAGGGCTAAGGCATCGCCTGACAACAAGCCATCTTTGAAACGCCTCCAAGAGGGAAATGGCATCCATTAGAGACATACAGAGATGTGTGTTCACCCAAGGGGGAGGGGGGTCAGAATCACGCACACACACATACACAGATAATTGTTTATCCCTGGGAGAACCTTCAGTGTTTGTCTGTGGGTGGCTAAGTAAGTTCACCAGCACTATTGGACAGGGAGTGCCCAGCAGACCCAAGGCTCGAAAAACATTAGGATGAATCAATTAGCCTGCCATTAGCCAATAAAGTGGCCCTCACTGAGTCGTGTAATTATGACCCACAGCAAAGCCAATTTTATGGAAGCACATTATCCCTTTCTTTTCTTTATTAATTTTATTTGTTTGAGATAATCCTGCCATGGTTTTAATTATGTGCTTTAGGTTCAGAGTGGAATAAATAAATCATCATTTGCTCCCATCACTTCCAGCACTGCAGGTCTGCGGTCGCTCTGTGTGGGGAAGCTACCCATCACGAGTCAAGAAGATTGTTCCCATCATGTCTGTCATTGTTATGTGGATCACACTGATTAGTCATTTCAATTAAAAACCAGCATCCTCCTCGCAGAATCCACATTAACCCCACTCAGAGCAAGTTCCCTCACATTATATGATAAGAGGCAGCAGGAAAAGATGATATTATTGGGAGCAGCTACTTAGCTTGTTCCCAGCTCAGACGACCCTGTGTAAGTATGACAATGTGCTGTCAATGAGGGATGACGGTACACAGCCAACATGGCCCAATGTATTGTTCCTTCCTCAGTCCCTCCTGACAGATGCTGTCCAAGACAGCTGGATCAGCAGCAAGAACGAAGCTGGGATCTGGGCTGCGCGCGAGGAGAGGATGTGATATGCAGCTGATTAGCGAGGGTATACACATGTCAACAAGCAAGGCCTAGGGATTATGTTGGAGGTTGTGTTAATTGTCAGTGAAAGGCACATTTACCTTTTTTTCTTGCTACATAGAATGCCCTGCTCTGTTGAATGCAGCCATTTGCTTTGCATTTGTCTATGACCTTTCTTATTCCATTTTGCTTAAAAAAGCCAGCCTGCTAGTGTTTCTTCTTCCTTTCCAAGAGATCCCTAAGAAATGACCTTCACTGCAAGAGCCACTCTCATAAGACTGATGTTGGAGGTGCTTCAAGCCACCTAAAATAAACACATCATGAATGTTAAGCTGGAACTTGGCAGCCGTGAACCGAATCGTTTTTGTGGACACGGGGAATTTTTATGTTCCATTTCCACTTGACAGTCTAGATGCTTTATGAGTTCAGAAAGAAATCCGGCCTCAGTTTTTTGGTAGAAACATCTGAGAAAAGCTTCCTCCCTCCCATTTGTGTGCTCTTTGAATTATGCTTTTACTCCTTATTTGTGATTTTTTTTCCCCTTTGCTTGTATTTAAGGAAGGCAGAGTAGGTTAGTTGTCCAAAACAACAGGCCAAATTCAGAAGTCAGCATTTGAAAAGAGACTTTTTCTATCTTCGGAGACTCCTAACTCATTTTCAGTCTTCTTATAGTGCATGTGTGTCAAAATTGACAGTTTACTTTCTTCAGCTTTAAGTATGCTCCACTCTGAGTTGTTTAAAATTACTTCCAGAAAGTGCAGCTCATTCTCCTCCGTGGGCTTTGCTGATGTTCGTGGACAGGCGGCTTTATAGGTTCTGGTGGAGCAGGTTTGACTGAGTCATGATGTGGTTGTGGCAGTATGAGGTAAGATGGGTGTCAAGCCATCTGAGATTATCCCATCCAAGTCCACCCATACGTTACAGGAGTGATGAAGGAGTCTTGGTAAGACAGATGTTTGTACACTCCTATCAGCCTCCACCCTACTCTTCCTCCAACAGTCCACCCACATTCAGTCTACCTCCTGCTGAGGCTGTGGTCTGAACCCCTGACCTCTTCCACTTGTCAAAAGTTGCCATATTTGCATTTCCAGTCCACTTTTATGTAGAGGGATGGCTGAGGGAGCCCCTCCTCTTCCTCTGCTAGTACAGCAGGTCTCATTCTCATCCCAGTGACCCCCTGCCCAGGCCCACAGACCCGGACATCAGTCTGGGGTTAATGCACCAAGCACTCCCATTGTCTCTGAATTAATGAAGTGCTCCCTGCTTGTCCCTTTTCATTTCATGGCAATGAGACAAATGACAAGTGGTAACGTTTTAAATGGCTATCGACACATGCAGGGCGTAAAGTCACAGAGTCACAGCTCCTGTTAGCGCTGCAGCCGAGGCCCTGTAACAGTAATGCCAGCTGCCGTCAGTGCACTTTCGATGTTCACACTGGGATCAATTTGGATCCTAGCAGCACCACACTCCACATAGGAGAATGGGTTTTATATTGAAATGGATGGTTCTCAGATGGAGGATGAAGAGTCAAAGACTGGGAGTGTTTTCAACTCAGAAAATGGAAGGTGGGACTTTATTGTCCTAAAGAATGGCAAGTGAGCCCTCTAGTGGAAGCCAGAGATATTCATCCAGGTTACCTTTGGTGATGCTACCCAGTGTCAGCATGGCCATTTATTGTACTCTGCATCTCTTAACCTTGCAAAGATATCAGCTGGAATTTTATGTAAATCAGTAATATGGCACACACTGTCTTGTCAGATCACATCAATCACATATACAACAGTCAAACTTACAAAAAAAGCATCAGTTACAACTCCTGCAGCTGAAAATTAAGAGAATAGAATAAATAATAGAAGCAATATCAGCATGAAATATAGTGAAGGAAATGGGCATGATGGAAAAGAAGAGACAGAAAAGAGTTTAATTATGGGAGTGAACCCAGCAGCACTAAGCGTGGACAGGTGAGGGATAACGGGGTCCCTAACAAATGAAACAGAAATATCTTCAGCATGGTCACTCTCTCAGTCACGGGCTACCACATTATCAGTTGTTCCACTGATTCATTGTAGAATTAAGTGATGAATCACTTGGTGTATAAAAAGGCAGAAAACATTCAAAAATATCCTTTACAGTTTCCTAAAGCCCAAGGTGATGTCTTCAGATTTGTCTGACCGGTCCAAATTTACAGATATAAATCAGAGAACGACAGCAGATGATCAAATAAGTTATTGTTCTTCTGTTATTCACCTAGATGATTAACGGACAGATCAGGTCAGCTATAAATAAATCAGGCATCTAGTGAATATTGGAGGGTGGATGATGACACTCAACTGTCTGGCTCTTAAAGTGGAGAAGGCAGAGCATCAAAATGCAGTTAGTTTGGGTTTATGGAGAAACGTGTGTCTCTCTCTTTGCTACAACGTACAGTACTACATCATTCACTCACTTGCCCTGAGCTGGTAGAGATGTGGGTGCAGCTCAGCGCTGTTGGCCATGCAGTCGGGGGCTGCAGCTGACGGTTTGTTACGAAGCATCACACCACTGTAGGTGTGACCTTTATGACTGATGGCTGACCTCTGACCTTCTCCTGTCATTGTAGTGCTGAGTATCCGCGGCGCCCAGGAGGAGGAGCCCCCAGATCCCCAGCTCATGCGGCTGGACAACATGCTGCTGGCAGAGGGCGTATCTGGGCCGGAGAAAGGTGGCGGCTCAGCAGCGGCGGCAGCTGCAGCGGCGGCGTCGGGAGGAGCCGGGGCCGACAACTCTGCAGAACACTCGGACTACAGAGCCAAGTTGTCCCAGATCAGACAGATCTACCACACGGAGCTGGAGAAGTATGAACAGGTGAGAGCAGCAGCCCTTACTGGATATATGAAGACCAAGCATTTCATTTTTATTGACCCATCTGAAGCACTGATCCTAACAGACTGTGGAAATCATAATCACAGTCTGTGACTCAGATCTCACAGTAGTAGTAGTAACTTATGCAGTTCTTTTATAAAGAAGGCTACAAGTGTTGAAAAAATAACACAATGAGCCATATGCACTACACTATTCCTCAGATGAATGTAATTTTCACAGACCTGAAACAGCTGTAGTGTAGGACTTCAATTTGTTCCAGTACTTAAACGTAGTGGAAGAAGCTGGAAAGCTCTGGTGTTTGTCTGTCTGATGTTACTCTGTGCAGCTGACTACATTAAAAAAAAGAAACCAATCCAGAACAGGCCGAGATATTCTGACGGATAACCCCACCACATAGACTTCCTGTTAAAAGTGTACTTTCTAAACCCAGGGTGCAGAGCAGCAGCTATTGAATTACCTATTGATGATTTTGCGTATAAGGTGTCAACAAATAATGAAAAATGCCTATCACAGTTTCCCCAGAATCCACATTGATCATCAAATTGTTTGTTCTGACAACAGGCCAAAACCCAAAGATATTCTCTGTATAACATTATAAAAATGCGTGAGGCTGGAAACAGCAAATACTTGTGACATTACTGATTCATAATGTCTTGATTTTCAGTTATTAATGAATCATTACATGTGAATCGACTAATTGGGTGACTGACTGTGTCAGCATGACTAGTGTTTTTTTCTGAGTCAGAACTACATCAGTACTGACATAGGTTCAGTGGTACTTCCCTGACTACAGTATTAACAGTACAGCTACTACAGAAATCTGTCATTGACTGCAGCTTCACCGAATACAATGCCAACCGATGGGCGCTGTCCACCGATAATATAATTGATAAACAGTATGAGTGTGATGAAGCAAAACAAAAAATATAAACATAATAAATAGAAATACTTTTGATATGTGAAATCTGTGGATTTACCCTTTAACAAATCAGTGAATTTGACAACATCACTTCACGTTTCTTGTTTTAATGGTCATCTTGTACAGTAGGTTTAATTAGTTGATCATTAGAAAAAAAAAAAGTAACAATATTGGTTTCTTAATGGTTTACGTTGGTTTTTCAGTGGAAATACCGGGCGTTCCCGGTTGCTTACGAGTATCCACTGCTGTCTTTGTTAGCAAACAGAATATTTTCAGGTTTTGGACTGGTTGAGCAGACTGAACGTGACTTCTGGGCCTTTTGGGACTTGTGATGCTCATGTCTCACTAATTTTTGGCTTTTTGGTAAAACGTGACACTGCTCTAGACACAACACAAACAAGACAAAAGAGAGGACTAATAAACAATTCACAGACTGTTGGTATCATTGCTGACCCACTTCTCATCTGCTCTCCTGAAACTTTTTATCCAGGCTTTTATTCTCCACAGAAGCAGGATGAGCCTTAAAGCAGGTGGCAACCCCTGTAGATTCCCAATGTTTCCTCAATATAAATCACTGTCAATAAGAATTCACTTAAAATTGTCCATCATGTGCAGTATGTTGTGTGTCTCTGTGTGTGTTGCAAGTATACTCTTGAAAGTCTGGTGGAGGGGGGCTGACTTCCTCTGACTGCCTTGATACCGATGCATTCGCGACAATAGCATCCCTTACAGATGAATGTGAGGAAGACAGACGAACACACAGACAGACAGACACAGACAGAGCCTGACACGGCTAAATCCAGAGAGAGATCGACAGGAGGAGAATAAATACAGAAGAGGAGACAGTAAGAGACACCGAGTCGGAGTGTAATATCGCAGCAGATTCACGCCTGGTGTCACACAGGGGGATGAATGAGACGTTGTGGCATGTTCGTCTCTCAGGGTGGCTATGCTGGGAAAGTGTGTGTCTGAGAAGGGATCAGCTGTCATTGGTTCCTCTCAACACACTGCCATCACCACTTCTGTTAAATATGAAATATTTCAGCAGTTATAGTCCCCTGGCTCTGTGAAAAAGCTTGCCCCAGAACTAAAACAAGCAAAGGGGTGGGGTTTTTTTATACTTCCTTCACCTGTGAATTTGAAATACTGCATTTTCCCTGTGTGTGAACAGATTTGTTTCTGTAATGGTGCTTTTGATATGGCCACATGGACAAATGAAGGTCTGATTCACAGGTTTACTGAATTCAGTGAAAGAGTTTTGGTGCATTTGTAGATTCATTCTTGTGCTTGTGTGTCACTCACAGGCGTGTAACGAGTTCACCACTCACGTGATGAACCTGTTGCGGGAGCAGTCACGCACACGGCCAATTTCTCCCAAAGAGATCGAGCGCATGGTGAGCATCATCCACCGCAAGTTCAGCTCCATCCAGATGCAGCTCAAACAGAGCACCTGTGAGGCCGTCATGATCCTGCGCTCCCGCTTCCTTGACGCCAGGTGCGTGTCCTTGTATACGTGTGCTTGTTCAGACCACACACACTGTACCACGCTCCATGTTGCACATAACCTCCCAATTTAACAACATGGCAAATGCGCTTCCCTCTCAGCCTGATATCTGTTGGTCTTTGGTTCTTGTTACCATTGCTACCTCTGAGAGACGAGACAGTCCAAGTAACTACAAAACAGTGCTGATTTATTCAAAGGATCACAGGAAAAATTAACATTACACGCTCAGGTATCTTGCACCTCCAACCTGCTCACAGGCAGATGTAAGATGAAAGCCCCTGAACCCACCAGGCCTATACATTATATCCCTTCAGTTGGGCTAGCCCCATACTACACAGAAACGTCAACCGAGACGTCTCTGTTGCCAGCTTTGCAGCTGGTCATAGCAGTAGTCAAAACATGAAGCAAATCAATGTGTGTGTGTCTGTTGATTAAGTGGTGTGTAGCTAAAAACATTCTCACGACCTCTAGTAACATGTCGTGATATTAAACATAAGAACATATTATGGCTAAAGCTACAGTTATACACGTCATAATAATAATATTAAACACCCTGTCTGCTGACAGTCATCAACTCTTCTCTCTAGTTATCCTTGACCAGATGTACCCTGTAGAAACTCATAAGCATGACTAAGCATTTAACAGTCTAACTAGACATCCTATGTCCACTAAACATTTCTAATACATAAAGTATCTATCCAATTTCTATCTGACTAAAAATACCTAACATATCCATATGAATGGCTGATGCAGGAGGCCCTCCATACTGTTTTGTTTCTTACCACGCACACAATGCTGGTTTACACCAGTGGATGTCATTTGAACCAACATAACCAGCAACTCTGGCCAATAAGAATTGCCTGTATGTTCCATAATGCTAACTGTTTCCTTTTTTAAATGTAATCGCTTGTTTCTTTTGATGCATGCTTTGGATTTGCAGACATTTCTCCGAGGATAAATCTCACTCAAAGTCTGAGTTGGAAGCATAACATTTAAATGAGGCATGCATCTCTTTACAAAGCTCCCTATCTATTCTCTTGCAAATGACTGTGGTGGTGCAGCAGTGAGGGGAAGGGGGAGGTTTTCACTGGCTGCCATGCTCAGCTCTGCTGATTAATCTAGTGGCTGCTGGAGCCCATGCTGTGCAAATTTGCATATTCTCAAGCATGGAGTGAGATTTTAGCACAAATCTCCTCATTGGTGGATCCATGAAAAGAGATTTTTACAAGCTTCCTGTGCAGTTTATTAAAAACCTTCTTTAGATGTAGTATGTGCAGACATGACCTGATAGGTGCTGGAGACCAGGGGTCATCAGCACATGATATCTTTTTGCATTAAGGTAGTTGTAGTCACGACCATCTAGACCAAGACCAGAGTGTATCGGGGCCAAGACTTTAAGGTGTTGTACTGAGGGCTTTTGAAGGGTTAATTCTCATATGCAAACCTTAAAAAAAACGTGTGTTATTAGTTCAAGTTTGTTTTTGTGTTTGTGATGACTGACATTAAGTCAAATTTCTTCTACATCACAGTTCAATTCCTGCCAAGGACCTTTGTTCTATATCACACCCGCTCTCTGTTTCTCTCTGCCTCGTTGCAATTTACAGCCAACTAAAGGCAAAAACACCAAAAAGTAATCCTCATTTTTAATGAGCTTCAGTACAGACACCAATGCGTCTTCAGGCTTTTTTAAAATTTTTGTTTTGTTTGGTTTTTAATGGCTCACTACTTTACTGTTTTTAGTCTTACTACTCTCATCAGGCAGCTGTTGAATAAAATTCTGATAAACCCACTGAGCACTACATTAAACAGCAGACAGACTAAGTTAGCAACTATCTAGTGAACATAGTGGAGCATTTGGCAACTAAACAGCCATGTACACTAATTCCCTCAGGATCTGATGTGTTGTACTTCCATCGGGTGGCTAGAAACGTGATTTCACATGCATACTAATGTTGTTTTATGTCTGCCAGATGTGTAAATATGTACTTTATTGTTTGAAATTCACAATAACACAGTCATTTACAAGTAAGTTGCAAGCATGATCACAACTTTAGAACATGATAATACTGTAATATATATTAAGTAAGAAATTATCTGATCAGAAAATAAGGATACACGATCACAAATCAGACTAAAGGTTAATACCAGCCATACCAGTAGCTGTCTTTACCATTTATCAATAAATAAATTAAATTTAAAAACTCAATTAATAATTTCCATGTATTTGAATATCTGGTTGCCACACAGTGCTATTAAATGTTTTTGTTTTATTAACATAAACACTGCCATTTTTTATGATTTGTCAACAACTAATTTAGAAGACATTGGGACGGCATGTAAAATCACAATTAAAACTAAAAATAGTGATTTGTAAATCACATGTGTCCTGTATTACACTGAAAACAATACACCAGCATTTCCTTTAGACTTGTTTGCAGGAGAAATGGGACAAAATGACACCTGACACATTTAATTACTTGGTGTTGCAGGATATAGTTCGTCTTACCATTGCTAACTCTGAGAGACGAGACAGTCCAAGTAACTTCAAAACAGTGCTGATTTATTCAAAGGATCACAGGTAAAATTAACATTACACGCTCAGGTATCTTGCACCTCCAAACTGCTCGCAGGCAGATGTAAGATGAAAGACCCTGAACCCACCAGGCCTATACATTATATCCCCTCGGTTGGGCTAGCCCCATACTACACAGAAACGTCAACCGAGACGTCTCTGTTACCAGCTTTGCAGCTGGTCATAGCAGTAGTCAAAACATGAAGTAAATCAATGTGCATGTGTGTGTGTCTGTTGATTAAGTGGTGTGTAGCTAAAAACATTCTCACGACCTCTAGTAACATGTCGTGACTTAAACATAAGAACATATTATGGCTAAGGCTACAGTTATACACGTCATAATAATAATAATATTAAACATCCTGTCTGCTGACAGTCATCAACTTTTCTCTCTAGTTATCCTTGACCAGATGTACCCTGTAGAAACTCATAAGCATGCCTAAGCATTTAACAGTCTAACTAGACATCCTATCTCCACTAAACATTTCTAATACATAAAGTATCTATCCAATATCTATCTGACTAAAAATACCTAACAGTGTCCTCAGTCCCTAAATGTCTTTTAAGTGTTGTGAAAAGGAACGACAACATCACACCGTGGTAAAAAACTTTGTTGGAATGTGTTGCAGCATCAGAATTGAAGTGAGTGTTTATTTTGAGCAAAGATTAAAACTGATGAGGTGTCACATCAAATAATGTGCTGCTGTGTTGTTTTCAATGTGATGCAGGACACAGATGATTTACACATCACTAGTTTCAGTTTTAATTTAGATTTTACATACTGTCCCAGCTTTTTCTGATTTGGGGTTATAATAGTATCTGTTATTGTGCTGCTGCTGCTGCTGATGTGTTTCAGCTGCTCATAAAGTGAACTGAAATGCAGCAGGTCTGGGCCTGATTGTTCTCTTGAGTCCTGACAAAGTGTCCCAAAGCAAAACTGCAGCTACATTGAAAGTTTCTAGTGTAGCAGAGGTTTTCACAGAGGAAGCACTGCCAAGCAAAGCAAGACCAGGGAGACCTAGAGAGACCGCGCCATTTGAAGACTGGTGTACTAGTAAGAGAACATCATAGATGTTAGGCTAGAGTTTGTAAAATATCCAGTTTAGATATTTGGCTTAAATTGAAGATTAGCATTTTCCAAACCACTTCTTTAACAAAAACTATCAGAGTTTTATAGCATGGAAGAAAGTGATGTTTCCAAATTACTCAAACTTTATAGTTGTATGGGAGAGCAACCGAAAAGTTAAAGACTGAGGGTGTGACTGCATGTGACACCAGTGCAAAAGTACCTCAACAAACACTGTTCTGTTTTATTCCACTTTTAAATCTTGATTCTCTTTTGGCAGACGGAAAAGACGAAACTTCAACAAACAGGCAACAGAGATCCTGAATGAGTATTTCTACTCACACCTTAGTAACCCCTACCCCAGCGAGGAGGCTAAAGAAGAGCTGGCAAAAAAGTGTGCCATCACAGTGGCCCAGGTAGACCAAAGACCAGTAGCAACCCACCCCCCCAGCACCTGTAGGAAAATACAACACAACACCATAGTCAATCTGAAGCTGCAGCGAGCGTATCCGCAAGCTGTCTGAGAGATTTTCTGGATGCTACAAGCACAGACATCCTTTAGTAGCACCTTTCACTGAGGCACCAAAGGACTCAGTGTATAAATATACCATCATCAGTTTCTAGTCTTGTAAATCAAAGCAGACAAAGCTAATTTTGATCAGTGACACTGTTTCTATTGAAGTAAACACCACAGCTCTCATAATTCTTATCAAAGACCTACCGGTAATCACATTTTCCTAGCACTACACAGAATATACAAACTTGAAGGTAGGTGAAAGCAGATCTATGTATTGTGACACAAATGTGGAAACTGGCTTTAAATGTGATCAGTCCTTTTAAACACTGATATTTTTAAAACATATCGTTTCCTTTTCTTTCATATCATAATTTTTTTGTTACTGAGCAAAAATATTCAATAAAACTGAACCGATAATGTGTGATTGGCACTTTATTTTTGGACGTTATTAACAAAATATTAATTGACGAATAAAGAAAAACATCAATAGTTTATTAACTGTGAAAAATTGTGAATAATTTCAGGTCAATATGGATGCAGCGAAGCTGTCCACTCCTGCAAATTAGCACTTCGCTCATTTGAGGCATATGCAGTGATTTACTATGAACCTTACAGCAACTTGTGAACGTCTAAAGGCATTGAGATGTTTGTGCCAGTGCTGCTGATGAGCAAAAGTATTTAGGTACCTAGTTTTTTCATCTTTGTATTCCAACACTCAAGTTGGTTTAGTCCTGTGAGAATTATGTTATTATAATAAGGAATGCAATGACAACAGCAAAGTAAACAGCAGTTTGTGTTTTGAATCCATCATTTGGGAATGGATTGTTTTCTCAATTGGTTTCATTAATTTAAACCAAATGATTTGAGGATGCTTCTGGGCCAGATTGTGGAAGCTGCTCAGCGGCTGAATGATTTGTAGAGTTTCTGTTTCTTGGCTATAATAAAGGAGAATGTTTACCTACTCTGTGTATTGGAAACTTTGCAGGATTGATTTGGTTTTCATTTTAATGCTGTTTATCATTAGCGCTGGGATTACCCCCCTGGCTTCATCTGGGAGTCCATTAGCCGTAATGGGTGTTAGCGGATGTTGACTGATTGGTGCTCATGTGAGTTCTGATGATAGCTGCAGTCATGGTGACATAATGAGACTGTTATTGGCAATCATTCCATTTTGGCACTAATGCGGATTCACAACACCAGTCAGTGTAGCCCCCACCTCTGACAGAGGTTCTCTGCAATGTTAGGCGTGACATTACGGCCGTGCAAGCTAAACACTACTGAACTCTGTTTCATGAGAATTAAACTACCTTCTCTTGTTTGTCTGCTCAGGTTTCCAACTGGTTTGGGAATAAAAGAATCAGATACAAGAAAAACATTGGTAAGTTCCAAGAAGAAGCCAACATGTATGCTGCAAGAACTGCCGTGAATGCGGCTAATGCATCCTCACATGGAAGCCAAGCAAATTCACCCTCAACTCCAAACTCTGCAGGTGAGGCAGGAAGTCCCTGGCTCTGCTCAGCTATTAGACATACACCTCCTATCTGTACAATACTACAACTAAGCAGCTTCTATCTATCAGTCTGAGGCTATTGCAATGCCGGTGCTGGTGATTTGTGAGGAATGAAAGAAATAGTAAGAAAAACACAGTTCTTGTACAAGGAACACACCTAGCACCTAGCAATCCATCAGTAGTATAGTGAACAGGTTATACGTTTCCCAGCTGACCTGAGCCCCATGGCAAGTCTCCATGTCCTTACTGTCCTTCTGTCTTTGTCTCAAGTAATGGATAATCTTCATTTATGACTATGTAACTCTGTTCATAATGTTCTGCTGCACTGACATTCAGATGACAAATCTGGTGATATTTTATATTTTTTTTATTTTCAGCAAATCACATAAAAAGACAAAACCAACACGGAATTACTTCCACTAGCAGGTATTCTATGCAAGGCCAAAGTTTATATTTGGATATATCTTATGCCTCCATTTTTGTCTATACAGCAATGAGCCACACCATATATGTTCCTTTAGTTTTAGGAAATTACTTAGCCTTGTTTAAGAAATAGACTTGACATTTGTAACCTGTTTTTAAAGATTTTATGTCAATATCAAGAACAATGGCCTTGTGCTGAGTGTCAGAGACACGAAGGGGAGAATTGAGAGACAAACAAACATGGATAGCTTTGGCTAAACACATATAAAAATAATAAATTAAGTAATAAAAAATATAGAATAATGCCAGATTTGTTTTTTTAAGTTGCAGTCCAATATTTTGATCAATGTTTGTATTTGCCATCTTATTTTGAGTCAAATGAAACTGTGGATGTTCAGCCTAGATTAGCACACATACTGTAGGGGGAAGGAGATTGTATAGATTAATAGATGTACCCATAGGCCACTCTAGAGCTGTCTTTGTTGATTCCTGTTTAATCAAGTAGCCACTAAATTAATCTAATCCCCACCCTCAGAATTGTTTGTTTTGGTAAAAAGTGTTTCCATGGATGCATTTTAGGACCTGGATGCCAGACTTAAAGATGGCGCCCAGTGTCTTGAATGAAAATTGCTCACCTAGCATGTGAGCCAGAAAAGTCCTCTAGCTTCTGTTTGCTTTGTTTTGCGCTGCACATGTGCATTAGGGTCTCACCCGCTGACCCTTCCTGCATGTTGCTGGTTGGCCCATAGATAATTTGTTGACATCAGAAAAGTAAATGTCACTTTTCTAAAGCTCTGAAAAATACAAAATCTGCAGGACAAAGAAATCATAATAGAAATTGATTTTGTAGGAAGTTAGAAGTGTCCTGTCAGTAGATTTACAGAGGTCTCTTTCCTAATGGTGGTCCACAGGGAAATGCTTTAAGGGCCACAAGGTGATTTTCGGGTGCAATAGGGCCATAGGGAAAAATTTGCTGTAAGGCTGAGCAGAGGTGCAGTGTCCAGTTCTTTTAATATGTGTTTTTGTTTTTTGTTTTCTTTCACATTTGAAATAGGCTAAGCTAGTGGTTTACCACTACATCCAGCATAAGCTAGACCAAACACATCCTGAGCCTACAGGACTTCTGTGCTTGACTCTGAAACAATAATGTATTTGACTTTGGATAAGACAGTAAACGGTGCTATTTTACTATGTTGGACTGCTCTTTCAGTATACACTAATAATAATATAAAATCACTTGCCTTTTTGGATGTTTTGCTAGCAGAAACCTAAACTTGACTCCTCTTACAGCTGCAGCTTTTCTGTCATCATGTGTCTGTTAGTTTCCTCTTGGCTCCGTTCTTCTGATCTAACAGAGCCTGTTTGGCTGTAGCTAACCTATGCATGGCGCTCCTCCAGGCTGCGACCTGGGTGGCCTGACTTGCTTACCCTGCTTGCTCTCTGTTTCTCTGTGATTCGACTGCTCCCTCTCTCCTTTCAGGTTCTGCTGGTTCTTTTAACATGTCAAACTCCGGGGACTTGTTCATGGGCGTGCAGTCTCTCAATGGGGACTCGTACCAGGCGGCTCAGGTGGGAGCCAACGTGCAGTCACAGGTAGGGCCCCGAGCAGTGCAGCAGATAGTACAGGGTCAGGCTCAGTACCTTACATTAGACCCTGTCTTCCTGGCTGCCTTTGTGACTTGTCATACAAAGGTGTGATAAATAGTAGTAACTAAACGGATGCTGCATTCACATGATTTTGTTTGAACAGCAATTCCCATTCCTCAAGTGGAAAAAACCACTAGCCTCTTCGTTGCATTTCTAAAATAGCTAAATAAAGTATAATTTTATCTCAGTCGAATTAGCTAATTATAAAGGAGTGATATGCCATTTGTTAGTATCTGCATTCACCTGTAAATAAACACTTAACAAATCAGACACATTATTTGAGTTACTTTAGGTGTGACTACAATGCTAGCTATGTTGGTAGCCATCTTGAAACCCTGCATAAATGTTGCCAAGTTGCAATAATGGGGGTTTTACCTGTTTTTCTTATTTTGATTATATGAATGGACAGTCATGTTTTCTGACATTGTTCCCAGATGATACAGATTCAACCTCTTTCTAATAAGCATTTTAACCCCCATTTTTTACATACCTATAGCCCAATTGCATTTTTCTTGTACAGACCCCAAGGAGCAGAAATCTTCTAGCTTACTTGGACTTAAGGTTACATTCACCTGCTGAAGTCACTCAAATCCAATTTTTGTCCCTCCAAGTGACTCAGATCTGATTTTTTTCACAGGAAGTGTGAACAAACCAAATCAGATCTGGGCCACTTCCAAATGTAGTCATGGATCCAACACATACACAATCTCTGACTATGTGACCGCTGTCAGAGCAACATGATCAGTGTTCATGTAATTTTTTGTAACGTCTCAGTGCTCTGCATATGCGCATATCGCCTGTCATTACCATTCAGTGTCGCCACCACACTGACTTTGGCACAGAAGGTCGGGGGTTCGAACCCCAGTCAGGGCATGGTCAATATCCCACCTGAGTCCTTAGGCAAGGTCCTTAATGCTAGCTGCCTACCTCATCGGTAATGAGAGTTGTAAAAATAAGAGTCACACCGGCACATCGCCCGGGTCAACAAGGCCCACGTCAGGTGTTGAGGAACCAGGGCAACCTGATGAGAAGTGGGCTACTGGAACAAGACATTCATGGACAAGAGAGGAGAACAGGGACCTATTGGAATACTACTATACAAGTAACCCCAGTGAGAGGGGTTACATATGGAGGATGTGGGACCTATGGACACGGTTTACAGACGGAGTATATGGATACTTTGAAACCCAACATCTAGACTAACATCAAAACAACTAGTAGCCCAGTGCTCTAACATTCGCAAGAAGCACCTGCTATCACAACTAGAGATTGACGAGGTACAACACAAATGTTCCAGCAAGGGGGAGCCAGGACTGATATCGGGGGGGGAAATATCATCATCATCACCC